TGGCAAGACTCCCAAACCCCTCTCCATCCTGAGTATATGGCAAGACTCCCAAACCCCTCTCTATCCTGAGTATATGGCAAGACTCCCAAACCCCTCTCCATCCTGAGTATATGGCAAGACCCCAACCCCCATTTGAGTACATGACAAGACCGCCACCGGCCCTCTTCTCTGTGAGTATATTGCAAAACATCACACCCCTTGAGTATATTGCAAAACGTCACACCCCTTGAGTATATTGCAAAACGTCACACCCCTTGAGTATATTGCAAAAACGTCACACCCCTTGAGTATATTGCAAAACGTCACACCCCTTGAGTATATTGCAAAACGTCACACCCCTTGAGTATATTGCAAAACGTCACACCCCTTGAGTATATTGCAAAACGTCACACCCCTTGAGTATATTGCAAAACGTCACACCCCTTGAGTATATTGCAAAACGTCACACCCCTTGAGTATATTGCAAAAACGTCACACCCCTTGAGTATATTGCAAAACGTCACACCCCTTGAGTATATTGCAAAACGTCACACCCCTTGAGTATATTGCAAAACATCACACCCCTTGAGTATATTGCAAAACGTCACACCCCTTGAGTATATTGCAAAACGTCCACACCCCTTGAGTATATTGCAAAACGTCACACCCCTTGAGTATATTGCAAAACGTCACACCCCTTGAGTATATTGCAAAACGTCACACCCGTTGAGTATATTGCAAAACGTCACACACCTTGAGTATATTGCAAAACATCACACCCCTTGAGTATATTGCAAAACGTCACACCCCTTGAGTATATTGCAAAAACGTCACACCCCTTGAGTATATTGCAAAAAACGTCACACCCCTTGAGTATATTGCAAAACGTCACACCCTTGAGTATATTGCAAAACATCACACCCCTTGAGTATATTGCAAAACATCACACCCCTTGAGTATATTGCAAAACGTCACACCCCTTGAGTATATTGCAAAACATCACACCCCTTGAGTATATTGCAAAACGTCACACCCCTTGAGTATATTGCAAGAGCCACGCCACTTTCCCACCTTGATTATATGGCAAGATTCCCATGCCCCTCGAGTAAGAAATCTCCCCTCCACCCCCCCACCCCCCCCCCCCCCCCCTCACACCTGAGTATGTGGCGACACCCCCCCCCCCTCTCTCTCACAACACCTTGAGCCCCCCACACCCTTTTTCCACATAACAAAATGTGATCAAGAAAAGGACAGTAGAGAAAAAAAAAAAAAAAAAACAGGTAAAAGTCTGGCTAGGAGATTAAAATATCTGACACCTACAAATGGTGTGGCAAATCTCCAGTCAGTAAGTCCTGCTTGGTCAATCGGGAGTCCGGACAGCTAATAAGAAAGTGTCCGCCTGTGTCGCCGCTCGCACGCAACTCCGTAGCTACAGCGAACTTCCACCATTTACCCCAGAGTGTTAACTCTGGTACCCATTTCCTAGAGGCTGGGTGAACCCCGGAAACTGTCCGGTTTCGAAAACCGGCCGTGGTCGAGTCGTAGCTGGATTTGAAAGCGAGTCTCCTATCGACTGCACTAACGCCAATCCCCGAGGACAGTAGATTCCGCAACAAAGGAAACACAGACAGTATGGAGATACGCTTTTGTCAGAATGTGTTCTTCATCTACAATTTAATGCGCGTGCTATCATATTTGGTCGGCTCTGAGGCTAAGTCGATGCCAGCTGCGGGCCATGCGCCTTGCGTTGGTTTAGACAACGGTATCAGGGGGCCGACCGTACAGACAACAATGGCAAACTACTGGACGTAAATTTACCTAGAGAAACCACACAACAGCCAGGGGCTGTTGGGGTTGGTTCTGCAACGTCCTGTGAAGGATATGCAGCTATCATATTTATTAGATTTGTAACGGGGTATACGCACAGACTGCGCATGACAACAAATAATTACTTGCTTCGTTTTATAGCTAGTTCTAAACATATTTCTATTTATAAACAAACTAAAACACAATACAAGTATAACGGCGTATAAGTACAAATGCACTTCATTTCAAAATACCTTAAAAATGCCTATTCTTCCCCCTCCTGATTGAAACCAACTTGCGCCGCCCTAGGGGGAGGCTAGCTTCCTAGGTTGGAAAAAGGAAAGGAAAGATCCCTTTTCGCGCCCTTAGGGGCATCGGGTATATGGGAAGAGCACCCATATTTTTACAGACCATCGGCACTAGGTGGGTAATGTAGTCAGCACTAAGCCGGCCATCTTTACTTCCCCACCACAGCCCATTCTGGTACACAATATAGTCTGGGTCGACCTGCGACGCCCCATACCCCAATAAAAATCCACGCAGCCAGCAGTGGGTTTTCGATCGCGGTACGCTGGAATTACGAGTCGGACTCGCAGCCAGGCTGGAAACCATTGGTTTAAATACTGTGTTGCTAGAACACGGCGTGAGATGACATTGGAATTCAAACATTGTGTGAGGACATGTTTCTTTGTTGTCAACGCCGTCATTATAATCGTTATCACCATGACAGCAGTTAGGTACACTTCCATCCCCGTGTGGGTTCCGGGGCACTATTATACGGAAAACAAGAATAGACCCACTGCCTCCCCAAAAGCATGTCGTAAGAGTCGACTAATTGGGAGCTTCCTTTGAAGTCGGAGTGCATCTGCCTGAGAGGCAAGGAACCAACAGGCTGCATATAAATTAGTCAGACTTGTCAAACGGATGCACACGCAACACTCGGGTTCAGGAACAGGATTTCAGTCCAGAAGTGGACGAAAAACCAGAACTTTCCGCCGAAGTTTACAGCTGGTAAAAGCAAAAAAAAAAAAAAAAAAAAAAGAAGAATGTACATTTCTAGAACTGCAGGGAGTTTGACAACAATGTGACCTTTTTGAATACTGTCTGGGATATGCAGGAGTACGAAGAAATAATAAAATCGGATTTTCTGGCTACAAAAGTGATAGTGACCAGAACACTGGAATGGACAAGGAAGATATCCCCAGGATTAGATGAAATAACATGTGCAAGAATGTGTGAACGAGGAACTAAGTGTGGATCCGGCAAGGATGGACGAGTGAGAGGAAGAGAATGACGTGTGTATAATCAGTGTGCTACGGCAACAGTTAGCATCTACACCTTAGGACATGTACTGCGGGAGACAGAGCATCTATATGTATGCCCAGTGTGCTATGATGTCGAATCTCAAATCAGTAAACCAACCAAGGAAATTTCAAAGAACCCAAGACGGACAAGAAAAATGTGCCGGAAGTTCAAAATCGGTCATGTGATTACCATGGTAACTTCAAACTGATCACGCGATCTTTCTGTTTACACAAAATAGGAAGAGAGAACCTTATCCTTCCATTTGCTTGACTCCGGACACGTAAACTGATCAAGACTGTGCTTTCAGATTTATTTACTACACACTGAATGCGATACAGTTTGTAAGGCAGCTAAGATTACCACCATCTTGCTGCCTTTTTACCCTTTCTCCTTTATGTTTTCTTTGTGTCAGCACCTTCCTGAGAGATGATACACAAGACAACGAACCCTAATCAGATAACAAATAACAATATTTTTAAAATTAGTTAGTTAGTTAGTTAGTTAGTTAGTTAGTTAGTTAGTTAGTTAGTTAGTTAGTTAGTTAGTTAGTTAGTTAGTTAGTTAGTTAGTTAGTTAGTTAGTTAGTTAGTTGGGTTATCATCATTGCACTCCGGACATGTCCATAGGTGCTCAGATCCTCCCATCAGTATGAACCCCAACGCCCGATGGCTAATAGTACAAGCTCTATGTTGATTAACAAGTCTTCTGGTGTGCCTGGTGTACGTCTCGTTTTTTGCTGTGCCGATCTTAAATCCCAGGTCTGCCATTCTGGCGAGTGATGTGGATTTACTGCTCCCAAAGTCCTCTATCCTTCCCATTTCTCTGAGGGCATGAATAATATCAGCATGATCCATAGGCTAACCGTCGGTAGTGATAGCGGATCCAGCCAACCTATCAGCTCTTTCATTTCCATGAGATTTTTTATAAACAACCAGATAACCAACGATAACATTATCTGTCCTCCAGATATGGGGCACAGTTTTTTTTTAGTTATTTTAAAGCCCCCCACCCGGATTAGGGGAGGGGGGGTGTTCGGGGGCCCTTACATAACCGAAGAGTTGAACGGGGTTTCTGGAACCTCTCCCCAAGTCAACCTCATTCACATAGTGGCACTTTGTGTCACCGGGTGCTTGTTGCTTGGTGTATGTCCTGCTGGGGTTGAATCTCACTCACTCACTCACTCACTCACTCACTCACTCACTCACTCACTCACTCACTCACTCACTCACTCACTCCAAGGGAGCTGCCTGATCTCGAAGCTTGGTGTCCGCCTCGAGTGCCAGAGGTTCCGGGTTCAATCTGTGGTAAGGGCTGGGATTTTTTCACGTAGATTTGGACTTTAGTAATTTCCCCTGGTCTCTGGGTAGTGAGATCGGACGCCCGTGTGCATTGTTGCGATTGTAAAACAATCCCTTGGCGGTTGGGAATCAAAAAGAGCAGCGTAACGGCGTTGCCAGGGCCAAATTTTGAGTCATAAATGGACAAGAGACTCAGACACACAGTTCTAGTATAGCTAGCTAATTAGACAGACAGATACACAAACTGAAATACTTACAGAGAGGCAGATATGAAAGACTGATACATGGACAGGCTGGCTGGTAGTTAGACGGACAGACAGACTGACTGACCGACCTACAGACAGACAGACCGACTGACCGACCTACAGACAGGCAGACCGACCTACAGACAGACAGACAGACAGACAGACAGACAGACAGACAGACAGACAGACGGACGGACAGACGGACAGACGGACAGACAGACAGACGGACAGACAGACAGACAGACAGACAGACGCACAGGTAGGCAGGCAGGTAGGCAGGCAGGCAGGCGGACGGACGCACAGACAGGCAGACCGACACACACAAACTTTAGTACACCTCTAAATTGCCCAAATTCTGCGTCCCCAGTGTCCACGTGTGAACGACACAACCTGTTCCCTTCAAGCGAGGAGGTGCAGGAGAGCAAAGATTACCAGCAGCAACATCTGGGTAAGTGAGTCCAATCATAAATCTATTTCCCTCTGTACTAGATCTATTTCATGCCAGAATTAATCTATTTCGTTTCAGAATTAATGTCTTTCGTCTCAGAATGTCTGCTTCACGCCATAATTAATGTATTTTTTTTTTCCTCTCTTGGTGTCAGGATAAAACCTTTAGGCGGACCGAAAGAAGACTTATGAAAGTTAATATCGAGGCAGACCTGCAAATTCATGGCGTCACCAGCTGGACAGTGAAGACCAATCAAATGCGGGATATGGCAGTCTCTGTCACATAGTCTATAAAAAATGTTTCACTCCACCGTGGCATAGCGGCTAGACGCTAGCCTGTGGATCCCAAGGTCTGGGTTCCGGTCCGGGCGGATTTTTTTAAACGACCTAGGCAAAAGGTTGGAGCTTTTGAATTGAAATGTTATAGAACAATTCTTAAAATACCAAGAGATCAAGAGAGAAAAAAAAAACAAAAAAAAAAACATCGACATTCTAAACGAGTTGAACATCAAGTAGAACTGGCTAATAAACAGTATCCTGCCCCGAAAGTTGAAGTATTTTGGCCACATCAAGCGTCATGGTGGCTTGGAAAAGACGGTGATGGAGGGTGCCGTTTGTGGAAGGCGAGGCAGGAGTCGACCACCGCGAAGATGGATACAAGACATTGAAAAATCATTGGCATTGAAAGCACATGAGGCCTGAGATCTGGCTAGGGAAATTGATACTTTCAGGCGTGTCGTGAAGAGAGTGACGTTCTGTAACGGACTTGCTGATTGATGATGGCAAAAGGTCGATTCTACCTAAAATGTATACAATGTAAAGTTATGGGAAGTAAAGGTGATCGGAGGCGGTGTCGACCACATTACTTGCCGATCGTGTCCCTCTTTCAAGTTCACCATGGATCTTTCATGCAAGTCTATAAGACAGGCATGTCCCAGCTGGCGCCCGTGTCTTTGCTTCAGTCTCCTGTACTGTCAATAATTTCTGCAACACTTGACAGTTCTCACACCTAATCTGTTGCTTCTCTCTCAAAACATCAATACTTTTCTCAACATGCCACAAATCTTTCCCACAAGTTATCTTTGTTTTATTTATTTACCCCTGGATGCTGAAGTTTCTGCTCACGGCAAATCGTCATCACTCAGCGAAGATCTGCTTCTGGAGTCAAGTGACAGTTTATCTACAAACTAACCTTGTAAAACAAATACAGCCTCGTATCACAATTCATTCGTGGAATACACAGACTTATCTTTTGTCTGCTAAACAATTTTTGTTTTTGTTTTTAGAGAAAAACAGCAATCTTACTGTATTACTGTTGTAATCACTTAATAATATGATGTATTTTATTCAACAGAAGTTTATAATGTCGCTCAGTTGTTTTATCATCAATTTTTTCAGCTCTTTTGTTAGTCATAAAGCTGCATAATTCCATTATTATACCCCCCCCCCCCCCCCTTTTTTTTCTTCTCTTATCTTTCTCTGTTATAAAATGAAGTTTGTACGTCAGTTCATTCTACATATCTACCCGTCCGTCTTTCTGACTGTCGGTCTGCCTGTCTGTCTGTCTGCCTGTCTATCTGTATTTCCTTCAATTCTTTCATGTGTGGTTTCACCGCAAACAACTAAGTCATTTGTAACTATTTTGTTCATTGTTAACACAATGCTAAACGTATGGCAGGTCATAGTTAAGTCACTTAAACATATGTTTGTTAACAACATGTCAGGCACCATGTATAACATGATTATGTGCACCCATACACGTGGGCGACGAATCTTTGTTGTATCAAAACTCACAACATTTTAATTCACAACCATACACACGAGCCAGGAATCTCAACAGAATAAAATCCAACAACAGCCTAAATTACACCAGCAAATCTGAGCTAGGGATTTTACTAATATAAAAATCAATAGCATACTCATGTACAATCACACGTGTGAGCCTTGAATGTCGATAATATCAAAACTCTAAGGCAACTCTGCAACGACACATGTTAGTCAGAAATCTTTCTACAAAGAAAATTCACCAAACTCTAATGCGCAACCGCATTTTAGAGCCAGATATATTTATGTGTAGAACAAGCACACTGATTTACAGTCACAAACGTGAGTCCAGAACGTAATTAGTATCAAAGCGTTTAACACACATGAGCTGTGAACCTACAAAGTATCAAAGCGTTTAACACATGTGAGCTGTGAACCTATAAAGTATCAAAGCGTTTAACACACGTGAGCTGTGAACCTACATAGTATCAAAGCGTTTAACACACGTGAGCTGTGAATCTACATAGTATCAAAGCGTTTAACACACGTGAGCTGTGAACCTACATAGAATCAAAACGTTTAACACATGTGAGCTCTGAACCTACATAGTATCAAAGCGTTTAACAAACGTGAACTGTGAAATTACATAGTATAAAAACGTTTAACACACATGAGCTGTGAACCTACATAGTATCTAAATGTAACATGTGAGCTGTGAACCTACAAAGTACCAAAGCGTTTAACACACGTGAGCTGTGAACCTACATAGTATCTAAATGTAACATGTGAGCTGTGAACCTACAAAGTATCAAAGCGTTTAACACACGTGAGCTGTGAACCTATATAGTATCAAAGCGTTTAACACACGTGAGCTGTGAATCTACATAGTATCAAAGCGTTTAACACATGTGAGCTGTGAACCTACATAGAATCAAAACGTTTAACACATGTGAGCACTGAACCTACATAGTATCAAAGCGTTTAACACACGTGAGCTGTGAAATTACATAGTATCAAAACGTTTAACACACATGAGCTGTGAACCAACATAGTATTTAAATGTAACATGTGAGCTGTGAACCTACATAGTATCAACACGTTTAACACACGTGAGCTGTGAACCTGCATAGTATAAAAACGTTTAACACATGTAAGCCGTGAACCCACATAGTATCAAAACGTTTAACACATGTGAGCTGTGAACCTATATAGTATCAAAACGTTTAACACATGTGAGCCCTGAACCTACATAGTATCAAAACGTTTAACACATGTAAGCTGTGAACCTACATAGTATCAAAGCGTTTAACAAATGTGAGCCGTGAACCTACATAGTATCAACACGTTTAACACACGCAAGCTGTGAACCTAAATAGTATCAAAGCGTTTAACACACATGAGCTGTAAACCTACATAGTATCTAAATGTAACATGTGAGCTGTGAACCTACATAGTATCAAAACGTTTAACACACGTAAGCTGTGAACCTACATAGTATCAAAATGTAACATGTGAGCTGTGAACCTACATAGTATCAAAACTTTAACACATGTGAGCCGTGAACCTACATAGTATCAAAACGTTTAACACATGTCAGAGGTGAACCTACATAGTATCAAAACGTTTAACACATGTAAGCTGTGGACCTACATAGTATCAACACGTTGAACACATGTGAAAGGTGAACCTACATAGTATTAAAACGTTTAACATAAGTGAACTGTGAACCTACATAGTATCAAAACGTTTAACACATGTGAGCCCTGAACCTACATAGTATCAAAACGTTTAACATAAGTGAACTGTGAACCTACATAGTATCAAAACGTTTAACACACATGAGCCGTGAACCTACATAGTATCAAAACGTTTAACACATGTAAGCTGTGAACCTATATAGTATCAAAGCGTTTAACACATGTGAGCCGTGAACCTACATAGTATCAAAACGTTCAACACATGTCAGAGGTGAACCTACATAGTATCAAAACGTTTAACACATGTAAGCTGTGAACCTACATAGTATCAAAACGTTTAACACATGTAAGCCGTGAGCCTACATAGTATCAACACGTTGAACACATGTGAAAGGTGAACCTACATAGTATGAAAACGTTTAACACATGTGAGCCCTGAACCTACATAGTATCAAAACGTTTAACATAAGTGAACTGTGAACCTACATAGTAACAAAACGTTTAACACACATGAGCCGTGAACCTACATAGTATCAAAACGTTTAACACATGTAAGCCGTGAACCTATATAGTATCAAAGCGTTTAACACATGTGAGCCGTGAACCTACATAGTATCAAAATGTAACATGTGAGCTGTGAACCTACATAGTATCAAAATGTAACATGTGAGCTGTGAACCTACACAGTATCCAAATGTTTACCACATGTAAGCCGTGAACCTACCTAGTATCAACACGTTTAACACATGTGAGCCCTGAACCTACATAGTATCAAAACGTTTAACATAAGTGAACTGTGAATCTACATAGTATCAAAACGTATAACACATGTGAGCCCAGGAATCTTACCAGTTTTTTTACTAAAATCTTCTGTCAGACTTTGAGGTCAAGGACATGCTCAAGATGGGTAGGTACACGCATAGTTGTTATCTGGGCAGTTTGATATTAGCCATGTAGAATTGTTTGCGCCTTTTGGTAATGAAGGCTTTGGTCGAGACTTCAGCTGTAGTTGTGAAAATCTTTTTTTCTTTCACATCGTTGTTGGGCTTCCAATTTTAAGTTTGTTTTGAGTTAAGTTACGTTTGACTGCCATTACACCTGTTTTCAACATTTTTTTAAAGTTTGGTAGTGACTCACAGCGCATGTTGAGATAAGAGGAGACAGGTATGCTCAGTGCAGAGTGGCAAGCATCGTTTCAGAGGTCCCGGGTAGTTTGCGTTTTTTTGGATATTTTCTCGACATCGTCTCGGTGTGTTGGGAAATGAAGAGGCAGACGACTGGTTTGTTCTGCATTCTTTGATGGTAAAATGGATGCAGGGCAAGCTTAATGTTGTAATGGTCTTTGAGGGCGAGTAAACAGTGCGCTGGCACAGACAAATCACGACCGGCTCCAGCTGTCGTGCTGCTGACCTCACCGGGTCGGGCTAACGATGCATTACCGCAGCGTTTCTCAAACTGGGTACCGAGGCGCCCTGGGGTGCCATGAGCGTATGCCAGGGGTGCCACGGCAATAATCAAGAACAGTCGGCTAAAAATTGTGAAATTTTTAAAAGAAGGCATGTAGATACTTTAAAAGTTTAAATGTAAGTCATCTGTCCTCGCCACTGTCAAAAATAGTTTATTTCTTGTTTGAGAACTGCTGTGTTAATGCGTCGTTAGCCCGACCCTGTGACGTCAGCAGCACGGTCCGTCAGCTGGAGCCGGTCGTGGACAAATCATCACTGTGTGAGGAGAATGGTGCAGAGAGGCGTGACCAGGTGATCTGGCCAACGCTCATTACTCAAGGTAAAGGCGAGACGGATATACAGTCAGACTGTTACAAGTGCCATTGTAATTAGAACGCTACGCTTGCTGCCGATGATAGGGACAGAGAGCTGATGACAATGCCCTGAGTGCTATGATATTGGCTGTTAACCCATAGCTCATAGTTAGGTAGTTTAGTATTCCGGTAGTACATTTTCTCGGGAGGGTAACATTGTATTATGTACAACACTGCTCAACTGCATATTTAAACAGTAGAGATATATCACTGCTAATAGTATTACTAATCTCGTCATTCCTTTAAGGGATGCGATTTTTCGTTGAAGCCCTACTCTGGCTCTTGCCAGGGGCCGCAATATAGCCCGGCCATAACTGTGGCATAATGGCTGAACGCGGTTTCTGGGACATCTCCACGGGTGATCCTCATCCACATAGTGACACTTTGTGTCATCGGGTGTTTATCGCTTCTGTAATGTCCTGGTGGGGTAAAAAAAGACAGAGAGATAGAAACCTACTAATATCGACATTGTTTAACTGCAGTAGCTTATTGTTTAGTGCGGTAGTCTTTTGTTTACCTGAACTAGCCTGTTGTTTACTGAGGTAACCTTTTGTTTAACTGCAGTAGCCTATTGCTCAATTACAGTAACCAAATGTTTACTGCAGTATACTATTGTTTAACTGCAATAGCCTGTAGTTTAACTGCAATAGCTAACTGTTTAACTGCAGTAGTCTATGATTTATTTGCAGTAGCCTATTGTTTAACTGCAGTAGTCTATTTTTTTTAATTGCAGGGGCCTATTGTTCAACTAAGCATCATGTTGTTTAACTGCAGTAGCATGTTGTTTTACTGCAGTAGCATACTGTTTAGTGCAGTAGCATATTGTTTAACTGAGCATCCTACTGTTTAACTGCAGTAGCCTTTTGTTTGACAGCAGTAGCCGATAGTTTTAATGCAGTAGCATATTTTACTAAGCCACCTACTGTTTAACTGCCATAGTCCATTGTTTAACTACAGTAGCCTTTTGTTGAACTGCACTAGCCCCTTGTTTAGCTGCGGTAGCCTTTTGTTTAAATGCAGTAGCCTATTATTTAACCAAGTAGCCTTCTGTATAACTGCAGTAGCCCATTGTTTAACTGCAGTATTTTTTGTTTAAATGCAGTAGCCTATTGTTTAACTGAACAGCCTATTGCATAACTACAGCAGTGTATTGATTACCTGAAGCAGTCTATTGTTTACATGCAGTAGCCTATTGCTTAACTGCAGTAGCCCATTGTTTAAATTCAGTAGCCTATTGTTTAAGTGAACAGCCTATTGTTTAACTGCAGCAAGCCATAGTTTATATGCAGTTAGGTTAGTTGCGTATCCTTTACAGGACGTTGCAGAACCAAACAGCCACTATGCAAATTTAGGCCCAGTAGTTTGCCATTGCTTTCTGGACGGTCAGCTTTCTTGATACCACTGTCGAAACCAACGCAAGGCGCGTGGCCCGCAGTTGAGATCGAACCCGGCATCCCGGCATTACGAAGCGTTCGCATCTACTTAGCCGCAGAGCCGACTTATATGCAGTCGCCTATTGTTTAACTGAGAAGCCCATCGTTTAACTGAGCAGCCTATTGTTTAATTGCAGCAGCCTTTTGTTAAACTGAGCAGCCAACAGTTTAAAAAAGCAGCTTGTTGACAACAGCCTACTGTTTAACTGTAGTAGCCTACTCTCTAGCTGCAGAGCCTATTGTTTAAATGCAGTAGCCTACTGTTTAATTAAGCAACCTTTCGTTTAACTGAGCAGGCTTTTGTTTACCTTCAGCAGTCCATTGTTTAACTGCAGCAACCTATTGTTTAACTTCAGTAGCTTACAAAATAATGTAGTAGACCGTTTATTGTTAAACTGAGCCACCCATTGTTCAACTATATAGCCTATTGCTTACCTATTGTTTAACTGCAGAAGCCTTTTGTTTAATTAAGCAGCCTATTGTTAAACTGAGCAGCCCATTGTATAACTACAGCAGTGTACTGTTTGAATCCAACAGCCTATTGTTTCAGTGCAGCAGTCTATTGTTTAACTCAGCAGTCAACTGTTTCACTACAGTAACCGATTGTTTAACTAAGCAGCCAATCGTTTAACTGCAGTAACCTATTGTTTAACTGTGCAGCCTAATTGTTACCTACTATAGCTTATTGTTTAACTGCTTAGTCCATTGTTTAACTGCAGTAGCCTATTGTTCCACAGCAGTACCATACTGTTAAATAGAGCCCTTATTGTTTAACTGAACAGCCTATTGTTTAACTACAGTAGATAATTGTTTTACTGTAACAGCTAAATCTTTAACTGAGCAACCAATTGTTTAACTGAACAGCTGTTTAACTCAGGGGCCAACTGTTAAACTGTGCAACCTATTAAAGAAGAAGAAAAGAAGAAGAAGAAGAAGAAGAAAAAGAAGAAGATGAAGAAGAAGAAGAAGAAGAAGAAGAAGAAGAAGAAGAAGAAGAAGAAGAAGAAGAAGAAGAAGAAGAAGAAGAAGAAGAAGAAGAAGAAGAAGAAGAAGAAGAAGAAGAAGAAGAAGAAGAGAAGAAGAAGAAGAAGAAGAAGAAGAAAAGAAGAAGAAGAAGAAGAAGAAGAAGAAGAAGAAGAAGAAGAAGAAGAAGCAGAAGAAGAAGAAAAAGAAAGAATAAGAAGCAGCAGAAGAAGAAGAAGAAGAAGAAGAAGAAGAAGAAGAAGAAAAAGAAGAAGAAGAAGAAGAAGAAGAAGAAGAAGAAGAAGAAGAAGAAGAAGAAGAAGAAGAAAAAGAAGAAGAAGAAGAAGAAGAGAAAAAAGAAGAAGAAGAAGAAGAAAAGAAGAAGAAGAAGAAAGAAGAAAAAAAAAGAAGAAGAAGAAAATTAATTTTAGTCAGTTCCCTCTCCCCCTATTTTAGACCAATTTCCCAGGGGGAAACGAGGGTGGGGGGGGGGGGGGGGAACAGTTCTAGGGCCCATATTTAAAATCATACATTCAAATAAGCAGTCCAATTGATTCTGTAGTCTAAACATGACACCACACTGTTGTTTCTATGCACAGGTTAAGTAACCAGGCTATGAATGTAGTATCAACGTTGTAATATTTTAAAATGTAGGTAATTAATATTGTTTAATGTCCATGTTGTTTATTGCGTAACCAATATAACCGTGCTCTTTACCCCGTAATCAATACAGTCGTGCTTTTTATCCTGTAACCATTGTAACTTCACTGTTTGAGACGTAATCAATGTAACCTGTTTATCGTGTTTACAAAATAACTCGACTGTTTATAGCGTAAGTAATAAAAACATGCTGTCCATCGCGTAAGCAATATAAACGTGCTGTTTATTGCGTAACTAATATAAACCTTCTGTTTATTGCGTCATTAAAAAAAACATGCTGTTTACTGTGTAACTAATATAAACCTGCTGTCTATCGCCTCACTGTAATGAACATTCTGTTTTTTTGCGTAACTAATAAAAACCTGCTGTTTATCGCGTAACTAATAAAAGCCTGCTGTTTAAAGCGTAACTAATATAAACATGCTGTTTATCGCGGAACTAATATAAACCTGCTGCTTATTAAGTAAAGTAAGTAAAGGACCCTTTCCACGCCTTTAGGCGTATAGGGCATATAGGGCTAGACCTATATTTTTATAGACCAACGGCACAAGATGGGTGATGTGGTCAGCATCACGCCGGCCGCCTCTACTTCCCGGGGTTGCACCCGGTACCCACTCAAGGCTGGGTCGACCTGGGAGCCAAAGTCATTTTTGAAGAAAAGTCCGTCTCCGCCAGGGAGCGAACCCACGACTTTCCGATCCGCGGCGCACGTCTAGCCGCTCTGCCACGGCGACTCCCCTGCTGCTTATTGCGTCACTAATATAAACCTGCTTTTTATCGCGTAACTAATATAAACAATCTGTCTATCGCGTAACTAATCAAAACCTGCTGTTCATCGCGTAATTAATATAAACCTGCTGTTTATCATGTAACTAATAAAAACCTGCTGTTTATCGCGTAACTAATAAAAACCTGCTGTTTAAAGCGTAACTAATATAAACATGCTGTTTATCGCGGAACTAATATAAACCTGCTGCTTATTGCGTCACTAATATAAACCTGCTTTTTATCGCGTAACTAATATAAACAATC